ACCTCTCCAAGATACCTTGAAGGACCTATCTGAGAGGTAAGACTTTTATTAGTGCTGCTTCATTTCATGTATGTCATGAACTCATTTATATGTTAAATCAGGATTCTCAAACATATTTATAAATTTTTAATCTAAAATATTTAGTTTCCCTGAGAGTTTGTTAATATTTCAGTAATTTAGCAGTGTTTTATTTTGTTTAAAAATTACTTAATGTAATTTTTAATTTTGTAATAAACATTTTTTGTCAGTTGAACAATTTTTTTTATCTAAAATGTTTACTTTATATCTTTCTCAGAAAATAAGTCAATATTTTAACCATTTAAAAACATTCACACAGTTCGGTTAATGGTCACATGACATGCAGGTAACAAATTAAAATATTAAATATTTTTAGTGCGTTTAATTCGATTGTTTTTATTTTAAAAGTATTTACTTGTAATTTTAACATTTTTTTAGTACATTTATTATTTAAGCAACTTTCAACTTCTCACAAATCCCCAGATCGCACAGGTACGTCTGAGAGACGTCTGTTAAAGATCGCTTCATCTGGAAAGCATCTGCTGTGTACAAGCATCTGACAGATGTCTCTAAGATGTCAGTTTTACATCATAATCATCTTAAAGACATCTTCTAAACATCTATTTGACATCTGATAGGAAGCGTCCTGTAGACGTCTTGCAGGTGTACATGATGTCCATGTGCTGTCAGGCTTTGCTTTACTCTGTACAGTGAGTGATGTTGACTGCCTATGAGGGAAAAGTATGAGTTCATCTATAACAGGAATTAAACGAAGGATGTTTTGCTTCTGCTACAAGTATCAGGGATATGAATAATTTGTTATGGTGCTTGTACTTTGACCTCAAATGCTCCTCAGAGAAGCTGATCACTGAAGAAGCGTTTATCTGATGCACGTATGCCAGTGCAGATAAACGCTAGTTAATCACTAACTAAACACAGTAAAACAAACAGGTTAAACGTCTTCCTCAGGAGCTCAGTGATGACAGGTCATGATTCACCAACAACCTTCCAGCCCTCAGAAGTCTACATGTTCCTCACAGATACTCTGGCGCAGTATTGGGTTGCTCTTATAAACGTGTGCTTGTTTAGACAATGTAATGTCATGTTCCTCAGATGTTCCTCTCTCGTCTCTTCAGGACTTTCTGGAGCTCTCCTCTCAGGCCTGATTTCTTGTGGGCGGAGCTGGTGTGAGGAGGATGATGTCATCACTGGACAGGATCCCTCCTGCAGCTGTGACATCACCGGTGCATTCCACAGCCCCTCCCCCTCTCTCCTCTGTCTTTCTTCAGCTCCTCCCTCCAGATTCCAGCATGACGAAGGCTCTACTCACACTAAACCCAAAGCTATCTGCTGATGTAGAGTCTCATCTCGCGGGACAATCCCACACTAACTCTCCAAAATATTCTTCGACTGCAGTTTCACGGCTGTCTACTAAAGAGCACCACATGCACATCATGTAGTTAATTAGTTTTTCTCGTTCGTATTGTTCAGATAGTTTGTATAATTTATGCCATTTATTGAGTTTACACAATTGTTTAGTTTGTACAGTTTTGTATCAAGTTTTTGTAGTCTGCATTGTTTACATAAATTGTTTAATTCATATAGTTTGTATAGTTTATATAAGTCAAGTTTATGTAGTTTGGATAGTTAATATTGTTTGTTTCGTTCGTGTAGTGTTTATAGGTTATATAGTTTAAGTTTATACAGTTAGAATAGTTTATGTAGTTTGAGGTTTATACGATTTGTTCATTTCATATAGTTTATATAGTTTGTTAATATATTTTTTATAGCTTATGCAGTTTGAAGTTTATATAATTTGTTTAGATCATATAGTTTGTATTGTTTATATAATTTGTTTCTACAGTGCATATAGTTTAAGTTTATATAGTGTCTACAGTTTATGTAGTTTGATTATATAATTTAGATCATTTTAGTTTATATACCTTAAATTGTATGTAGTTTTTTTTTTGTTTATACAATGTTCAGCATATGTAATTTGTTCATATAGTTCAGTGTTTTCATGTAGATTGTATAGTTTTTGCAGCTTTTATGGTTGATGTAGTTTAAGTTTACATTGTTTGTATAGCTGATGTAGTTGAAACAGCTCATTAGTTTGATGCAGTTTATGAAGTTGTCAATGACTGTGTGAAGTCAGCAGTGAGTTTAATGCGGGAGAGAGAGATTGAGAACGAGTGGAGTGGGGGATGGGAGAGAAAAGAGGGCAGACACACTGAGGGAGGTAGAGAAAACAACACTGATAGAACAATGAGAGAGAGAGACAGATCAAGAGAGAGACTCAGAGCTGAGCTGGAAAGACAAGTACAGTCACATCCTGCTGCCTCTGTGATAAAGCAAGGAGAAGTGTGTGTGTGTGTGTGTGTGTGTGTGTGTGTGTGTGTGTGAGAGAGAGAGAGTGTGTGTGTGAGAGAGAGTGTGAGAGTGTGTGTGTGTGTGTGTGAGAGAGAGTGTGAGAGTGTGTGTGTGTGTGTGTTCAAGTAACTGCATGCCTTTGTGTGTTTGTAGACATGCATGCCTGCCTGTGTGTGTGTCATACATTTTACTGCGCTTTGTCAGTCAGTAACTGTTTAACTCTTCACCTCTGCTGATCTGAGAGAGAGACAGACAGAGAGAGAGAGAGACAGGAGGGCGAGCGAGGGAGGGAATGAGGGAGGAAAAGGTGTGGCCTGCTGCAGATACGACCCTGACTGCTACAGCTCTCTCTCTCTCTGTCTCTGTCTGTCGCTCTGTCTTTGAGTGACTACAGCGCTGCAGATCGAAAGGAACGAGGAACCACACAGAGGAAGAGTTTGATCTGCTGTTCAGGTACGTTTGAGCTCAGAGAGAACGAGACTCTAGGAATTTCTCAGCAGCAGGACAGAAACCGAACAAAGCCTCATGATATGAGTATCTGTGAACTTCTGAAGTTCTGCTCTTCATCTGTCATTCAATCATCAGCTCGTTTCGTTCTTTTATAATGTGCTGCTGAAGGTCTTTCAGACGGATCTGTGAAGTTCTTCAGTGTGTGAAGCATCTGACACACTCCGCACATGTGTGTGTTTCCAGATTTATTCTGTACAGGAAGAGTTCATAACTGCAATATGCGAGAGAACATTTAAGTAACGTATATTCAACCTAAACTTGAGAGACATGAGAAGACATCAGGTTTCGGTACTGAATACACAGACATGTCTGGCAGAACATCTAAAGCACTTTCAGATGCAGTTATGTAGCTATTGTTTATTTAGTTGATCTCATCAATGTGTAAACGTGTTCAGTAACTCCATGTAGAATTAAGCAGATTTTAGTACCTATTTTTCAGTTTGAAATAGTGTCAGATGTTGTTTCAACGTTGAAAAAGCGTTGTCAGAAACGTCCCAGTGTTTTATTCAGTTTCTCAGGTGTGTTTCAGCATCATGGCGTCTGCGGCCCCTCAGAAGAGGATGGTGTCGTCCGTCTTCATCACGCTGGCGTCTCCGTTCACACCGACGGCTCGCGTCCACAGCACACCCGCCGCCGCCTACAGACGGGACAGCACACGCCACAGCGACACGCCTGCTCCAGACCGTAACGACATCTCATTTATTTGTAGAGATTTTCTCACAATACACGATTTCAAGACAGCTTTACAGAAAATCATGATGTTAATGTTTATAATCTCTAAATACCTGGATGATAATATAGTTTCGATTTTACTATATATCCAACTTTATATGAATATATCTGTGCAATCTGAGCGCTGTACCCACACCTACAATCCCTGCCAGTACCGAGACTCGAACCTGCGACCTTTGGGTTACAAGTCCGACTCTCTAACCATGAGGGCTGCAACAAACGATTATTTTGATCATCGATTAATCTAACGATTATTAGACCGATTAATCGACTAATCGTCGATTATTCTGCTGATTGATCAGTAAACATTTATTGATTATTCAGCGTTTGCAATTAGTTAAAATATTGAGTTATACATATTCTAACATATAAATTAAGGTAATCACTTCAGCTTTTGAAAGTCATATTATGTAATTATACAATTAATTTATACAAATAAATATATTGTGGCACACAAAATGAGATGGCAGAGAACCTCTTATTCAGCATTTAATTAGCACCATTTAAAGTCACTGAATGACATAATTCTGCCTAAAATCTCCTTCTGTAAGTCATGTGGATAAGAAACTAAATAAAGGCAAGTGATAAGACGTTTTATTTTTTGATAAACTATTTTATTCACAACATAATCTCTCTTAAAATACCTTGATAATCAACGATAATCAAAACAAGTGTGATCTCTGCAAACCAAACTATAACTTGAATGAAATATTTTTTCCCCACTAATAAACAGATTGTATCATCAGCGAGCTCCACACCGGAGAGCTGCTCTATAACTGAAAACCGAGCTGTAATTCTAACTGGAAGCAACGCTGACTCTGGTTTTTCATGTTTAATGCTGTAAAGCTGCTTGATTTAAGGCAAAAAGTACTAAGTTATATAATAAAGGTGAGGTGACTGGACTTTACTGGAGAACCGAACTGCCGCGCTCCTGAAAACATCCACAGCACTGTAATCAGATGCTTTCTTAACTGCTGCTTTCCCACCGCTGGCAGTTTTTGTTATGGTCTTTTTCATTATTGAGAGGAAAGCGCGCAGCATATATTTACAGATTCATCCAAATGCTGCTCAGCAGCTTCAGGCTCGGCTGTGTTTGATCTGATCTGAAGTGCTGTCTTCTTCTCTTGAACTCTTTTTTATTGTCGACGTTGTTGATAATGTCGACTAATCGTTTCAGCCCTACTGCCCCGATATTTAACTTTATATGTAGACCTGTGCAATTACATACTTTACATTTTTTCTGTAAATACAACTATACTATATATCCAAATTTATATATAGATCTGTGCGCATAGGCGGAGCATGTGTAAGGCTGGGGAAGGGGCAAAAGTGACACTAAATTGGACAAAAATGCCCCTGCACAAGCAAATTAAATCTATTACGGTTGTTGCTAACAAAGTGTAAATGAATAGAAAGTGGAAATAGAATTCCACAAATTCTCTCATCGTAAACAACAAAGCGCAGATGCACGTACGATGAAAGTAAGGGATTCATTTCGCAGTGTAGACAGCTTCAGTGATTATAACGGTAGTTTTGTTTTTTTGAGAGTGCCATAGATCACAGTTAGTGATAATGTCATTTCTGTACATAATTTATTCGCCTTTGAATAACCGTGAGAAGAAAACGTTATATAATTATCCATTTATAATGTTTTAATTAAATTGTAATCACATTAAATACTAATTCAGTCCCATTAAACATATTTTATTAGCCTACATGACACCCGTGTCTGGTTCTTGCCTAAAAAGACAGGTTTATGATGTTTGTAGTTAATAGATTTGGCTGCTTTTAGCCTTACCCTGGAGTTGGTTCACCCTCCGCCTATGTCTGTGCGATAATATAGTTTATATTTTGTGATATATCCAGCTATACTATATTTTCAACTTTATATAAATAGCTGGCCGGTAACATTTTGCGATGATATAATCAGTCACACAGATGAGATTTGCTAGGTATGGCTGTATATATCACATATGTCCAGTGTTGAGGAGTAACTAGTTACATGTAACGGAATTACGTAATTTAATTACAAAATAAAAGTAATTGTAATCAGTTACTGAGAAAAAATATGTAATTAAATGACAGTTACTTATGAAAATGTTAAGGATTACAAAGGGGGTTACATCTGCTTTTTTCACACACACTCCCACATACAGATTTAATTGATTTCTTTCATAAATTGCTGTGACTTCTCTAGCTGCTGGAGCGTGGAGAAAAAGATGGACTTCGTACAACTGGCTGAGGGCAAAAGCATGCTAATATTGGACCGTACATCAGCGGTTGTGGGCGGGGCCTGAGCAATATGACATCATACTGCTCGGAAAATCAAAACTGCTTGATAATTGAGACTATTTAGGATTTTGGG